AATTTGAATTTTTTTTAAGTAATTTTTTTTTTAGGTTGAGTTTTTTTTTTGAATAAATATATCTATATAACGGTAACCTGAAAAAAAGTTGGCTGGGAAATAGTTATCGTTCCGTGATGGCGTATTTTGATTTAGGAGACGCTGCGAAGCAGTTGGCGGAAATCAAGTTCAAGCTGCAAGAAGCGGAACGTGAAAATACCAATTATCAGGGCGTTGTTAGTATTTTGCCTGTTTCTCGTCAAGTTTTGAAAATATCTATTTTTGCAGTTTTCACAGTGAAAGAAGTGGTTTTATTGCTATGCATTTTTGCGCCATCTAAAAATTGCCCAGTCTTTCACGCCTAACTTTTAGCATTTGATGTGACCGATGTTACGTCAGTATGTACCCTGTCCATCTTGGCTTTTGTTTCGTTATTTCCGTAAGCTAAAGTTCCCGGACTTTGGCCGTCCCACATTTTCCATGCCTCAGATTGCCCCTTTTTTCAAAAGTTACGGTTCGGCCTACCAGCTACCGCAGATTATTTTAACAATCTTATCCCACCCTTCGTTTTAACTTTCTGGTCGTTCCAAATTTTGACTTTTTTAAACCGTTCACTTCTTTTAAAGTTACGGTTCGGCCTTTTAATGGCCGTAGTCTATTATTTCGTTATTTATTTTTACCGTGATAGATTTGGTGCAGTGACAAGTGAGAGAAAAATAAGAATTAACTGTCAAGTACGATTTTTTCCATTCGTTTTGGTGGCACCCGCCAGAATTTCAAAATCGACCTGTAAAAAGCCTCTGTAAGGGGATTTCTGGCCGTACGGTACTTCTCTGATAATTCCCATGCATCGTCTCTTTTCGTTGAGTTTCAAAAGCATGAGGTGTTTTGAAGTTGCTTCTGGTTAGACTTTTCTTGTGCAAGTCATGAAAATCAGTATGATGAAGCAATCAAGGAAAAAAAAGCTATTTCACTCCATTTTTTGGAGACCGCGCATTTATTTTCGACAGAAAAAGGGGCAAGAGCTCGCATGAGTTTTTTTTAACGCCTAGTGCTGTTAGAAAAATACCAGGAAAAAGATTTAAAAACAGTTTCTCATGATGTGATTGAATGTTATTGCAGTTGATACGTGTCGAAGGGCAAGTGAAGAGGTACAAGGCAGCCGCAGAACAAGGAGAAAAAGAGCTCGCCGAACTGAAATCGCAAAATCGGCAACTGAAAAAAGAAGTGGGGCTTTTTCTTTGAAGAAACTGGAAATGAAATAGCCCGGGGTGTGGAAGTATGCAGCAACAGAATTAGCATGGAAACCCAATACTGGATGTCCAGGCCGTTTTGGTATTTTTAGTACAATAATTGGCCGACGCACGGGCTGGCCGTGCTAAGACGCGTTTTTTGCATAGTTTCCCGCAGTTTTTATCGCTATCGGCATCGGTTTTTTTGGCAACTGCTTCTAGCTGAACAAAGTAAGACTGGCCGCCAGAACTGGCAGTAAACAGCCCCTTAAAATTTTAACTTTCTAGCTTTCCTGGCTCTTGAGTTATCACCTACTTGGACGGGGAACATCCCCCTAAGATTTCAGCATTCTAGCTTCTCAGATCCCCGAGTTATGAACTTACTCGAAAAAAATTTTGGTGGGCCCGTACGCAGGTACTACTCGCGTGATGGCGCCAATTTTGGGGATTGAAGTCAGCACGTGCATGCAGATTAAGTTCCCGAAGTTTCAGCCCTGCAGCTTTTGTAGGGCTTGAGATGAAAGTGCGTGACAGACGCACATACGGACACACAGACAACCCCTCGTCAGTATACGTTTTTGCATTGCATAGCTGCAAAAAACGTATAAAAACTGTAGAACTGGGATTTGTAAACCATGAGAAGCTACTTTGCTTGGAAATAGGAATTGGAAACTGGGGCGGAGACCGTGACGGAGGGAAAGGGGGGAGGGGGGAGGGAAGGGAGAAAAAGGAGGAGGTGGTATAAAGGATATAAAGGTTTCTGGTACTCAACGAAAAAGTTTATTTTGAAAGAAAGCTGATAAGCTTGTGCTTGCAGTCGAAAATTTTGCCAAAAGAAAAAATCAGCCACTTTTATACAACTGTGCTTTTCGCAGCTTGTAACCCAAAATTATAAAAAGCCCTCGTTCTCTTTCAGTTTCAGGTCCCATTCTCTTCCACTGTCCTTGCCAAGAATATTCACTGCTTGTATTTTGTTAAGAAAATTTCTACGACATTTATTAAAAAAAATGCATATTTTCGCGGTTGAATCAGCCGAGCCGAGTTTTAGCAATTGCCCCTTTTTGGGGGTTTTTTTTTTTCAATTATCTTCCATCTCTCTTAGAAATGTGAAATGTGAGGAAGGGAAATTTGACTTATTAAACGGGCGAATACAATGGCATCTCATAAAAACAGGAAAGATTTATGTTTGTAATTATTGGAGTTGTAATAGCTTTCCGCTGTCTGAAGCGAGCACTATGGCCTTTTAAATATAGATGTTATTGTTTTCCTCTTTGCCTTAGATATGAAAGCAATAACAGGAGAAATTAGAAAAAAAAAAAATGATTTATGGAATTTTACCGCATTGGTGCCTGGAGGCATGGCGCAGCGGGATAGCATATTTATCACGCAGCAGATCGAAAGTTCGACCCCGCCAGTGCACCAACTAATTAGTTCTTCTACGATACCTACATTTATATCGATGGCAAATTGGTACTGGCATATGGTAAGAAGTCAAACTCGTCACCAGCGTGCTTATAAGCAGCCTTCGAGATGGGGTACCATCAAACATCACGTCAAAATTTCAGCTTTTCAGCTTTTCTGGTTCCCGAGTTAGCAATTCCCCTGCTAAAAATTTTTATGGGCCCGTACGTGAGAGCTGCACGTACCTGGAGACTGAATTTGAAAGCTTTAATTTCTGTGTTGAAGAGGAACATTTCCAGCCTTGCCAGTGTGTAGTTGCTTTTGGCATTTGCTGCCACGTTGCCGAATACTTCATGACAAATACGGGGCGGGTTTTTTGGGTTTTTGACATCATTGATACCTGGATTTTCCAAAGTCTTTCACTACTTGACGCCTACTAATTGGGTTTGACCCTTTCTATTAATTCTGTATTCCATAAACTCTGAAGCCTCGATAAAGGATGAATGAAATGTGGGCGAAAAAGACGCCCTAACCATGACTGATAAAATTACCAACAGTAAATGCATACTGAATTTTGGGTTATTATAGCTTCGAGACAAGGAGAATGCTTTGGACGAAGCCAAGGAAACAAATCGTCATTTGCAGAATCGAATCGAAAAACTACGTTTATCTGGTTCCAGAAGAGTCACATAAAAGCGCAGTTACGGTTGCCTCCAATTATTTGGTGGCAAAAAAAAAGAACATTTTTATATTTTTTCAAAGCTTTCAGGCAATCAATTCAGTGCTTTTTTATTTAATTTGATAAAAATGTAAAAGTAATTTTAGACCATGTAACAGTGTGTATGTTTTTCAAGCGGCGATTAGCTTAATAATAATAATCAGTTTGTACTTTTTGTTAGGCCTTACACTTTGAGGTTTTTAATAAACAACGGCCAGTGCCTGTGATACTTTGAGGTTTATTGAGGTTTACACTTTGAGGGTTATTTAAATCGGCCAGTGCCTCTGTGCTGTTCAGAAATCAGTGCTCGATTGCTTACCTTGATCAGCTGCTCCTCCGTTGATGCTTCTGGCATTTTCCCCAATTTTTTGTATTCTAGCCTTTTCTCATCCACTTAATTCCATGCAATGTAATTCAGCGGATGCGAATCCTTCCATCGCACTGGCGACCTTCCCGACCTTCTTTTAAACAATCGAATGTTACTGACCGGTCGATTTTGATCTTTACCAATG